TAGCAGAGTAAGTAATTTTTTTACGAAACTAAATAAGTTGAGTAATTTGTCAGAGATGATGCAGAAGTAAGAATATAAGAGGAATCTGAACAAAAAAGTATAATGGAAGTTTATAAAATAGCTATTTATAATTTAGAGTTAAGTTTGTCCTGCTTACAACAGGGCTTGTATAACAAATCAAACATGCATGTTTAATACCTCCAAATTGAGTAGGGACATAGGCAATTTTAAAACTGAATTTTAAAGTTACATATACGTGGTCTGGTGTCCTCTCATATGAAAAGCTTAGCACTGGATGTTGTTATAATAAATTTTGTTGACAGTCAAATTAAGATGAAATGCAAATTATGCTCCTTGGAACTAGGTCATCACTGGTTAGCCAACACTGCAGGTTGCGTCTGATACAGTAAAGTGACATTATCACCTTTTTCCTTCCTCTGCCTTTGAGCAGCTGAGCAGAAAAAGCTCAGCTCAGCTTTTTCTGAAAGCTGAGCTTTCAGAAAATCAGTAATTTCTTAGGAGAGATTTCTGAGGATACAGAGAGAGGGAAGAGGCGCTTTCTTCATTATCAAGGCTCTTTCTAGGACAACGAAGATTTTCAAAAGACCCTCTCTCTGCAACTCACAGCCCAAGCAGCCACAGGTGCAAAACCACGTCAGCAGTGGTGTGAGACAAGCTCCCACAGCAGGTGTCTTCTGAGAGCGTCTCATGGAAACCTGCCAACATGCTACCGGCTGCCCTTGATGCCCAGGTCACAACGGAAACATTGCAGGGAAAAAAGGAAATAGGTTGTGCGGATGCCCTGCAGGAAATGGCCAAATGGAGCAAAAGGGACAGAGAGGGCAGGGATGGCTCTGTACAGCAGGTAGAATATCTCCCACTACTACTCCTACAGTCAAGAAACTTAATTTTAATCCTCCTCTACTAGAGGACTTTTTTTTAAAGACCACCTTCATTCCAAAACAAAAAGCTCTCCAAAATAGTAGGTTCCACACTTTTGCATAGCTGGATTTGAAGCAATGAGAAACATTTTTAATAGTGATTAAGCTATTAACAGAACAAGCACAGTTGTGTACTATTAATCTATTTGGTTGTCTCTGTCTTAACTTTCTCAGACTGCTGCCTTCCAACCACAGTACAGCACACCAACAGTAACACATTTAAATGTTGGTTTTCAGTAAGTTCCTTTTTCTTCTCTGCTTTTTTCTTCTGTGATAGTAAGAGAAAGACAAAAATTGAACTGTAAGCAAAATGTGGAATATATTTTTATGTTTTTAATGTCACTGCCCTTCACACAGGAATAAAATCCCTCACTTAAAGGCAGCCATCTGAAACGTGAAACATAGTGGTAGCTCTACGGACCCCAGCAATATTAACATAATGATAAGTTTAGGACAAGGTGAAAGAAAATATTGTATGTAATAGAAATTGCTAGGATAATGCAATTATTTGTAATGAATGAATGCAATGTTTATTTCTCAGCATCAAGACTTGGAACATTCTTCCTCCTTTCTGTTAACTTCAATTTTTTAATAAAAAGAAATGAACAATGCATGAATTGGTCAAAGGAGGATAGATCTGGAAACTGTGCTGTTTAACACATTTGGGGACACTGGGTCAGAACTGACTCAAAGGAACATTTCCTCCAAATGCATAACTGAATAACGCGGTTCCCATGCACAAGAGATTCTTTACTGTCCACAACTTAGCCTAGCATACCCAGTTTAGATTCGTTTTTGAGATACCATGTATTCATAAAGTACTGGCTTCAGGCCTTCATTACAAAACGGACAGAAATTTTACTACAGAAACTCAGCTTTACAAAATATCTTTGATAAAAGGCCAATAAAGTTAATTCAAAGAATTATATAGCATGCTGGCCCCATATTTTGATTAAAATCAACTGAAGTCACTAAGGAACACAGTTGAATTTCACGGTAGCATAAAGAAAATATTATACCTGAAAGGTACCAACTATCAATCAAACTTTGAGAGTCCACAAAATTATTTATGTGACAACAAATTCCCCATCGAACCATGGTGTTGATGCTGGCAGATGCTATCCCAGCAACTACTTGGGCATGCAATTCCATAGATCGCTGCGGTGATGAGCTGGAAGAGTGAAGAGCTTACATCTACTTCACATACTAGTTTCACCTATCAGAAGAAGCCACAGAAAACTCCTAGCTGAACCTCCCTCAGCAAATATGAAAGACCTACAGAATATCAGTTATGCTGAAATACAGCAGGACCAACCTTTGCCAATAATAGTTGCCGCAGTGGGAAATCACAGCTCTAAAAGCAGCCGTATGAAAATGAATTCTGAACTATTTATTAAAAAACAAATGAATCCAACTTACTGGTGAGAAGTGGATACGTTTGCATCATTCCTAAATACTATTGGTTTTCAGTTTAATGTATCTGCCCTAATCACGTTAGCACTACTTAACATTCAAGAGGATTATTTTTTTCCCACTGAGGCTGGAGAAGCATTATCTACAGAAGATCATATTAGAAGGGACAGGAGTGAATTTAAGGCACTGGATTTGAAGTATTTACAAAACTCATTAAAATTCCAAGGTTGCAAAATAGGTATTCTATCATGGGCTGCTGTGAATCTGGAGAACTAACCCCCTGCCCTCCCATGGGAATATTCTAAACACAAAGGAAATTCTGCAGTTGGAGAGGGAAAATCTCTAAGATCTAAATAAATAATGTGCTTTGTAAATCAAAATATATCATTAGCTTGCATTTTTCAACTTACATGCATTAAATAACATCTAGAGTGACTGTGGGGAAAACTACTTCGATGGTGAGTTAGTTATACATGGGAAGCACAAATGGAGTACTAATTTTAAACAACTGTGGGAACAGTAAGCAGAATTAAGAGAGTAATGGGAGAGGATGGAAAAATATATTTCTTTCTCTTCTCCAGGACAGCTTAGACAATTTTTTTTTGCTGGCAGTTTGCACTTGATTTCTTTGCCATGCAACATATGACTGTTGCTAATAGACTAGCAAAGCTTTAAAGAGAAAGAATATATTTTATTAGAGCAGTATGCAACTGGAAGAAACAGATGACATTTTGGGCATACTGTCTGTTCAGGAGGACTATTTGCCAAAGAAAGCCTTTTCTAATTTCTTCACCTACATCTCTTGATTTAATAGAAAATATTACGTATTCCGATAGACCTTGAATATATTCAAAGACCATCACAGTTATAATAGACTAGTCTGTCTATTTTAGGGATATCCAAACCTTGCCCACATAAGGCTTTTATTTTTACTTTCAGAGATGCCTTCCATGCATTCTACCAGTTTTGGCATGCAATGCTTCATCCAAGTCTGAAAGCCAAGGTGGTTCAAAATGGCATGCTTCATATTTTAGTGTGTAGTGTAAGAGCTGTGCCTCTTTACTATATGAGGGTGGCATGCACTGTACTGAAAAACTTTTAATCCCAGATCAGGGATTACAGACTCTAAGAGGCACAAGATGCCGACTCACTGGGCATAGGGGCTAGCAGGCGCTGCAGGAAAAAAGAATGTGTCAGGCTTATAGAGGCAAATGTAGAAATAGCGTGAGGTGCACAGCCTACAGTCATTCAAATAAATGAATGAAGACAGGTACAAAGACAGAGACCAACTGCCCCATACCATCTAGGTTACCATCTAGGTCCTGTTACCGACGTATTTATCTTTAGAGGTCTGCTCTTTTTTCAGAATTGCTAGACACGCTTCTGTTAGCTTACTGTAATTTGGCTCCTGAGCTGCTGACTCAAATTTTTGGATCACAATACAGCCTTGGGCTGAAAGTGTAAGGAAATGAGCAAAAACATCACAAAAGAAGAAAACCAGAGCTGAAGTGTTCAGGCTAGAACCAAGAGAGTGTTCACTGACCCACAAAACCACTTTTAACTATATAGGCCTTATATTGGTTTGTGTACATACTCGATATAGTTCTGTATATACATATAAAAGTGAATAATACAGTGAGAGAATTGGCATTATAATCCAAAGAGTCAAAAAGACAAAATTAGTAAAATTTATTTCTGGTATAAGTTCCTTAGATTAGTTTAGCTAAAAAAGTTTATGCATTCTACACAATAGCAGCAAAACTATAAATTAAAGAGTTGAGGAGACAAATAGGCAGGAGCGAGAAAAAGGGTTGTGGCGTATCATGAATTACAGTAAGAAAACAAGAGATGAAAACTGTCACTGAGGGGATTAAGGAAGGCATGACATCATCAGAGTTGGGAGAAAGGAAGATTATTTCAGCAGCTGAATTTTAACTAGACTGACAGTCTCCACAGAGACTTAACTGGACAAGCCATTACGGAACCATTCCTCTCAGTTCTGTATTCCCAAACTCCTAGAAATACACTGCTAAGACTTCTGAACTCTCGATTAGAAGACAGGGCGTGTGAGTGCACATGTATGCACATGTGTGTGTACGCTGCATGTAGCACAACGGGTCAAAATTTCAACTTAGGTATGCAGGCAAGGTGGCAATACAAAAAACCAAAAAATTAGTAGCATAACATACTGTTACAAAATACAAAAACACTCCATACATTTACATAAAGTATCTGACTCATAAAAATACACCAATTATAATTCAAATGATAAATGTCATTAATCATCACTTAAAAATTTAAGATCCCTAAGACTACATTAAGCTATTGACTACATCAAGTTCTACATTAAGCAGCTAAAATCTGTTAACAGATAAAACATGATAAAACTGGTATCTTGCAGTTAAGATTCCCAATGACTATGCAGATGCATGCCCTCAAACACCATAGAATAGATAAAATTTCATAACAAATATTAAATGTCAGTGATTCCAGAAGACATTGTATCCTTCCATCAGCTTAAGAATGGATCCTTCCTATCTGTATTCAGCACTTAGGAATGATTTCACAGCATCTGTGTGTGGCATGTCAGTAAGATCTACGTCAACGCTTCAGGCTTTCGTTCAGAGCTTCATACCACAAACTCACCTGCTCCTGGGTCATCTTCTGCAGCTCTTTCTCCCAAGCTGCCCGGTCATCATCCAGGTGGTAGGAAGCAGGTGGGGTGAGTCCACGCAGAATCAGGGGGTCACGGTCATGGCAGAGGGCTGTCAGATGTCCAATGTACAACTTCAACTTGCTGCGATTCTGATCAAGTTCTAAGAGGGGCTGAATTATCTGAAATAAGAGAACAGGAATAGTGAGAAACAGCCTGATTGATACCCAAGCAACAGGGAAGGCAGAGATCAACCACTAAGTTACAATCTTTATACTAGAAGAAACCTGAACACACAATATTCCTGCCCCACAATGTTCCTTCGACCCAACAACTATCCAGTATTGAAGTAGAACGAAACCAAGCACGCTAGGAGAAGTGGATGTGGTGATGACAGCTGGCTATTCAATATACGAAATAACGATGATATGGGGTGAAAAATGAAATAGTATTAACTAAAAGGAGTAAGTCTATTGATTGTTCAGCAGTGCTTCAGTCAGCTATCACAACTCCTTGCTTTAATGAACATTAAATTTTTTGATGAAAGGTGTCTGTTCACAACAATGGTAATAGCAATGTAGATGCTGTCGCTTTACAAACAAACATTTAATTCTAACATATGTACGCACTAAACACGTTCTGAAGACAGTAGTTTCTAATGACGTCAAGATGCTGTTTTCTAAAAATGAACACATCTCTACTGTAGAAACTGGATGAAGACATACCTTAATCAAAAAGTCTTTTTTAGTCTTGAAAAGGCAAAGATTTCTATTTATTATGCAGGCCAGGTTCTATACAATAAGCCTGAGAAACTAAAATCAAAGAACTCTAATAAGAACTACTTTATTTCATTACATTCTGCCTAATCTGAATCTAATCCATGCTCTTCACTCCAATCCCTGGAACATCCAGTTCCTGCAAAAAGTATCAGAAGAGCCATTTTTCACTTGTTTTACCAAAAAGTAGGGTTCAAGTTACTGACATATACATTCTTGGGAGTCCCTCATTATGCCCCCACAAGAATACCGCTTCATACCGTTCTAGATGTTCATGGGTATATATTCAAAATTGCAATCTACAGAACTCCGGCTCTAAGGCTTGCAGCTGACCAAAACTGAGAAAGAGCCAGGCTCTGTACCTCCGCTCCATGAAATGAGGTGCTGAAGCTACAGGCACTGATATGTCCCAGCCACGAGAGCCCGAAAGCCTTGCCATCATGCTGGCAAGTGTCATCGTGCTCCCAGGCAGGGGCTGCACCTGCTGTTTGCTAGTGGGCCCACGATATCTTTTCAATACGGCACCTCTGACCCTGCTAATGAATAAGGAGCGAGATAATCTCTGAGTCAACAGAAACAGGGTGCTGGCATTACTTTCAACAAAGACTCTGGCTCCAGCCCCTTCTAATAAGGCTGTCAGGGCTCACTTACTTTGTTTTTAACACTGTTCTACATGGATTAACTTCCATAGGGTGAGAGGACCTGAAAGCAATGGCTAAGCGGCTAACTAATGTCAAACTCCTTGTCCTCCAGAAAGCTGGCTGCACTCAGAAGCCTACACCACAACATTAGGGTCGCGGCAGCTGACAAGAGTCATGGTGACAAGGCGACAGGGGCACAGGGCAGACAGGAAGCCTGCAGAGAGAGTAAGCTCACAGGCTTAAATCCTTCAGCTATGTACAGCCTTGGGGCAACATTTATTTAAAGATACCCACACACATGAAAATATGCTTTGATATAGCAAGACTGCAGCGTGGCAGAATACTTTCTTGTACAGGGCAGTAGGAAGGGTTATTTTAATAGCATCAACACAGTTACTCCCTTTTCCCTTTCACCACCAAGTACAACTGTCTTTAACTCATTATATCCATCGGCTTTGGCTGTTTGGTGAATATGCACTACCTACCCTATTTCTTACAATCTGGATCACCTATATTATGATCTGAAAGTGCACTACCTGTACAAGTGCAAAAAACCATAGGGCTTTTAATTTCCCTGACATCTTTTCTACCTCTCTGACTATTCCTCTTGCCCAAAGAGAGGAAAATGACAGATGGTTTTCTCACACCCTGAGAAAACAGTGTTTTATAAAAATGTAAAATGTAAGCAGTTAATGTCTAATAACTAGCTCTCCAATCAATGTACTTGCTATCCTGTATTGTCCTTCTTTTTTTCTGAATCTCTATCAGATGTGCAGCTTTCAGTCCAAAAAGATCCAGAATCTCTAACCTTCCTGGCTGTCCTTTGCAAACGGATCCTCTCTCTGACAAAGAAAAAGCAGAACCATCTAGCAAGCAATTATGGAACAACAGTTGAATTTGATAACTTGGGGACAAGTTCCCTCTTTCTGTACCCTTGCCCCCTTACCTCGAGAAGCATGTTCCTCTCCCTCTGGAAATAAGCCAGACGAGGCCTGTGAAAGTTCTTAACTACCAGCGCTCCCAAAGCTGTTCAGAGAGCAATCGTTCCTCTCACTTGGGATCCATTAAACCCTGCCAGTCAAGTGGGAAATGCTCTTCTATCTGCGTTCCTGCCATATCTAATTTGAACTAGTCACTTAGCAAAAGGCGCTGTGCTTCTCATACGGCAGAGCTGCCACTGCCTTATCTCAAGAGGGTGTAAGAGCATTTGCTAAGTGGGAAGGCAGAGCAGCACGGGATTCATGGAGCAGATCATGTTCCCATGATCAGCTCAGAGCTGTAGCGCTTTCTAGGAAAACAATGGCTGAACAGACTTCCCTCCAAACCCAGGATTATCTTCGAAACCAGCCAGTCTTCATTAATTGCGGCGATACGCTTAGGCCATCCTCATCAAAGCATGGAATGAAGTCTGAATAATGTAGCCTCAGGCTCAGAGCAGTGCTAATGGCCAGCAACGTTTAAAAATGGATTTGGCTAAAGAAGGCAATCACTACAATGGTGAAGTAGAAATATGAAATGCCTGACGAATCGCCAATATAAAAACAAAACATTTCTATCAGCTGATAAAGACATTTGGGAATGTATCTCCAAACAAATTCAACTTAGAAACAGCAGGCTTTTTGAGGTTTCACAGAAAGTTTTAACTTTGAGCATGAAAAATGTGACTCTAACTTAAGTTTTGCAAGTTATCACGGGCAAAAATAAGCTTTAGAATGAAATTACTACTGCTTCTTCAACTGTAGTTGCTGTAAAATGGTCTGCTTAAATATGAATAACTGTATTGATAATTTTTAATGATAAAATTCTGTATTTAAACTCATGTATGTTCAACCTAGATAAGAAAAGGTACTTGTGCTGAATGTGGTTGGAGAGACCTATCTAAATGTTTGGTCACTTTTACTGTGAGAGATGAATACACCTCAGATACAGAGACCGTGGTGTCTCAAAGTTTGTCTGAGTGGTGTCTAATGTAAATATGCAAAAACACAGAGGTGGTTATATGAAAAAGAAAATCAGCGAATGGGTGGTATAACTGCAACAGCGTTGAACCGAGACAAATGCAATACTGACTATCCATAAATGCTTGCAGAGTAAAGTATGGTTTTAATCAACATATAATAGGACTCACTCACCACAACTACCAGCTTTAAATTATTGGTTCTCATGTAGAAGGGCTAATGACCTAGTCACCTTTCTCCCTGCTAATATCCCCTTCTTCTATGAAGTAAGCAACCACTCTTTTCTTTCTCAGAATCAAGTAATTAACATTATTTAGCTGTTTCAGAGAAAATGTTCTAAACTTCTACTTAGCTATAAATCTGTAGCTCTCATTTTGGAACTGAAGAAGCTCTTTTATGCAAGTCTAAAAGCTTGTCTGCTTTTTTCCAGCTACATCGGCTGATCTAACAACAATTATCTCCTTACAAAACTTGCCTTTCTCATCAGAACTACGCATGTGGATCAAATGCAGTAATCTTTCTTACAAGCACATGCATATGCTTCCTCTAGGAAAGGAAAAAAAGAAGAAAATAGTATCTTCTTGACAAAGCAATGCCAATACAAAGTGCTATATGTATACTTGGCACTGGCAGGACTGCTCCCATACTCTCCCATTAGCTTGACTATCTTGCTTGCATATATCTTGTGTGTACACACTCACCACAGAATGCTAAGAGGCAAAGTAATGCAGATAACTGGCTTTCATTTTGCAACCTAATAATTCATTTTCTCAACTTACTGATAAATCATTAAATGTTTGGGGAAAATCACAGGAAGAATAGACTTATCAAAAAGGAAATAAAATAGAATTGAGATACATTCTGGCGGTCAAAGTAAATGAAGTGAAGCTATCACTGGTTTTGTACCTAGCGTGTTACAAAAAAGTATACACAGAAGGGATCGGAAAATTGCCAAGAAATGAACTGAATTGAGACATGCTCTAGCTTGCTAGCCTGCCCTAGGGAACTTGAATGATCCCTGATTTCTAGAAGTCTTTGCAGATTCTGTAAAGTCAAAAAAAAAAAAAAGGAATTCTGCAAAAAACCTCAACAAAGACCCCCCAAAACTTCAGACTGGACATAGCAAATATGTTTTGAAAACAATCAAGTTAAATTGAGCTCGCCCTTTACTCCCTATCAATCACATCCTCACACTCTCATGTGAGGATGGGAAATTACTTTCAGGTCCAGTTTTCAAACTTTGTTGCATACAGCTGCCAATTTGCTGCCCAACAAAACTTGCTTCCCAAACTACCATTGCACAAAGGAAGATGGGCTGAAAGTCTGGATAAATAGAGATATTTGTTGAAAAGAAATTATTCCAAGGAGGATCTGAAAAGTCTAGATGCAGTGGACCATAGTGAGTCCTCAGACGGCAAAAAGAAACAAATAGAAAAAAACCCCCGAACCTCCCCCCACCAACTCCCCTGTATCCTGGTTTTATTACAGATATTATGAGAAAAGAAAATTTTGCCTATAGCACAAAATTTCCCATACTATAAGTTTATGGAAAAAGGCTAAGAAACAGAATGATATAGTCTGCAAGTATTTGCATGGGAAATTGAATTACACCTTCTCTCTAGCTTAGGCCATTTGTGTTTGTTTGGCAACAAATGCAAGGGTTCAAATACAAACAACATGTAACCATTGAATGCAGTGGAGTTTTATGAGGCATGAATTTGGCTTACAAAGTGCAAAGCTTTCCCAAATTCAGAACAATTTATCATTGATGGCTTCCCTTCATTATTTTAAATGAAAACAGAAGAAA